CCTTTAGGTGAAACAGCTCTGCTGGCGTGGGCTGGCCTGAGCCTGAGAGTGTCCGAGGAGGCTGCGGGCACTCTGATGAGACCCAGCCCGTCTAGTTGGCCCGCCAATCATCCTCCCCAAGATCTCCCAAGAGTGCTGGAAGGCGCACAGGGCTCGATGACCAGGGCTGAGACAGTCACCTCTCCGGGGTCTTGTCCTCTCCCAGGAGTGCGCCCCGAGGGAGGCATGAGGGTCCTGATGCCCAGGGCTGAGGAAACAGTACAGCTGTCTTAGGTTAGTTTCTCCCCAAGCCAAGCATTTGGGTCCAATTGATTTATTCAAAGAAGTGCTCCCAGGATCAACCAGTAAGGGAGCTGGGGAAGCAAGAGAGGAAAGAGGAAGAAGCCAAGCAAGAGAGATTTCAGCTGAACCCCCAGGCTCAGCCCGATGCCGTGGGGTGCTGGGGAGTGTGAGTGACACCTTGAGGAACAGGAGTTGGGCTTTTGTACTTCCACACCCATCAGTCATTGGCTGCAGGCAACCCTGCCTGGGGTGGATTGGAGGGAAAAACTAGGCATTTTTCAGCTCTTCATATGGGCAAGATGGTGCCCATGCCCAAGGGCAGCCCTCGGAAGGTGGCAGGTGCCAGTTCTCAGCAGCAAATCACACATATGGAGGTTGAGCTGGGAAAAGGATGTGAGGGGCCCTGAGTGGGGCACCAATAGCGTTCCCTACCAGAGCCTTCACAAAGCCATTGCGGCACCTTCTGTAAAGTGTTGTCACAACCACTTCACACTGTTGCCCCGAGCAAAAGGAAGACAAGGGGAGAGAAGGCATTTCGTTAAATGTTTATCTGAAACAATTTCCCCGAGCAGTGCACCCGCTGTTGTTTTTGTCCACGAGATAGCATGTAAGAGCACGCTGAACTCCATGTGTTTGTGTCCCCAGGCTGAGTCCCCAAAGCAGCAGGGCACTGTGCTATTTATTATTAATCATGGAATATTTTACTTAGCAAAGCAGGAGCTTGATGCTCCTGTAGGCCAGACATGCAGATGTTTTAAGTTCTCGTTTGGCTTTGTGTGGAAACATCCATCCCACCGAGGAGAAACGAAACCCAAAGTCCTCAGAAAATCAAACAGAAGAGAATCACCAGTCTGTTCAATATGGAGACACAAAGCTTTCTAAAAAGAGAACGCCTAGGGGAACGAAAAGAGGCAGTTTTGAAATCTAACCCTGGGAAGATGCTCTGATGAGATGCGGATGGTCTATGAGCCCAACAGGTAGATGTCTAAACCGGGAGAGAAGTCACAGGTGGGGGGTGTCTTAGGATTCGCTTCAAAAGCATCCTAGGAGAGTGTACAGCTTCGGAAAGTACAGGAAATAAATGAAAAGGAAGAGAGAACAATGCCCAGTGGATGTTTGATATAGGAATACAATTTTAAGGCTTCATTGTGCAGGATTAAAAGATGAATGTACAAAGAAGATGGTTGGTACCCAGAATTCTGAATCAACACCCTGGATTCAGGTCTGGAAGCCCATCGAGTGTAGACATTACCAAGAGGCCAGCAAATAGAGTGGAATGTTGCTTTATACTCAAATAGGCCTGGTAATGGCCTTTACATTTCTCTGTGGGTTGTTCTTTAGGCGTATGAATTTGGAGAATTGGTTTTTAAAGACAGTCGGGTGCTTTGTAAATAAAGGCAAACAAGGAAAAAAGAGATTTATGTTATTTAAATTACTCCTCAAACCAGCTCAGCCAGAAAAGTGTTGTTATCCCATTTTACAGATGAGAAAATCAAAGCTTGGAGAGATTAAGTGATTTTCCCCGGCCTTAGTTCATTAAGTGGTAGAATGAATAAATTTCACCTTTTATCCTTTCCACCTGCCAGCAAGTGTTGGTTGAACACCTGCTGTGTGCTTATTCTGGACACTGGGGAACTAAATGATTATTTGAACATATATCTATGTGATCCTGGAGGCTATTATTTCTCTATCAGAGTCTAGGGACTAAACTCATTTAAATCTGAGTTCGTGGAAAGTTGGATTACTCTATGATTATGCAATCATAATCTGATGTCTTTCATCAGTTTTGGAAATTTTTCAGCTATTATCTCTCTACATTTTGTTTTTGCTCCATCCTCTCTCTCTTCTCCTTCTGGGATGTCAATTACATGTATCCCCAAAATCCTTTATATTTTCCTGTACCTTTTTCACCTTTTTGTGTCTTGGGCTTCATTCTGAATTTTTTCTAAGTTATCTTTCAGTTTATTAATACTCTTCAACTGTGTCTGATTTGCTGTTAAACTCATCTGCTGAGTTTTAAATTTCTGTCATTGTAACTTTTCAGGTTTAGATTTCTCCTTTGGTTATTTTTTAAGATTTCCAGTTTTCTACTGAAGTTCTCAATTTTGTCTTTTATTTCCTTGAACACATTCAGGATAGTTATTTTTAAGTAGTGTCAGACAACGACATTATCTGAATCCTTTATAAATCTGCTTCTACTGTCTGTATTTCTCTTGTATTTTAGCCAAATAGTCTTGTCTTCCTTTGGACCCTAACATGGAAGCATCTGTCAGCTCTATCCTGGTGACATTTCATGAGCAATAACTTAAAACCAAATAGCAGTTCTCCATTCTAAGATCTCATCAAATTGAAGGTGCACCACTGATTTAATTATAGCTTTTCCGGGGGTTGGGAGTAAAGAAATACTACATGAAAAGCACATGTGACATGATTTCAGACATATCACGTTATAAAAGAGTCCGCACCTAAGAATTACAGAACTATGGCAGAATTCCTCAGCCTGGGGCTGACTTGTTTGTATTTCCTGAGTCAGTTTCTCTTAAGTCTTCTTTGAAAGCCTCCTCAGTGAGAGAGACACAGGACCCGAGTTGTCCTAAGGTTTGTAACCTCCAAGGGCTCAAGAACTCTCCAAAGTCTCTGCTAGTTAAACCCACATTAAATGTAATGGAAATAGGATGCGTGAGATCCTGCACAAAGGAAGTCATGGGGTGGAGCCCAGGGGAGAAAATCCCAACTTTGTCTCAGGCTTACGGGAGAAATGATTTCTTGTCCTCTGCTGAGGCTGATGTGGATAGAGTAGAGTTGGTCTTCTTTCAGTGTTCCAGGATCGGTCTTAAGCAACAGCTCATCTTTCTCGGCCATGCGATCTAGCAGGCAAAACTCAAAATGAATGAGGAGCTACACCAGCCTTAAACAAGTCTTAGCGCTTCCATAGGCTAACAGGCCACAGACTCAAGTCCCTTCTGGGGCCAGGCAGGTGGTGGGGGCTGTGGCCAGGTGAAGAACGTGGCCCCCATCTAAGCAGAGAGCCACTTCTCAACACAGTTGATTGTTGTCCTGTGGGAATACGGGCCCAGGGTTTCCAGATCTGAATTTTGTCAGATGCCAGTAATACAGATTTTTATGAGTACACTTCTGATTTTTACGTTGGCAACTGATTTCATTTTCTAAAACTTGGCAGGTACAACACACCATGCTTTTGAGATGATTGCAGTCTGTGGCCCCCTGTCGTTTGCTTCTGCATGTTCAAAATCGAATGAGTCTGTACTGTAAGAGGGTAGCCCCCTCACTGAGGCAACATGGAATGCCTCTCTGCCTTTCCCCCTCACGTCCTAGAGGCATTCCTGGAAATACGAGCGCTGGGGCTTTCTGAATCCACCAGAAGCTTCAAAAAGTGCATTGTCTTCCCTCTGTCATCTCAGTATTTTTAAATGGCTCACTCAGTGAGGTCCCTTTTTGGCACTTAAAATGAGGTTTTGGAATCACTCACCAGGGACATTGCTCATATCACAAAGCCCAGAAGCACACAGTATCATTGAGATCATCTGCCACCTGGTCTGTGGGCAATCTTAGACTAGACAAACCAGTAACTAGGCTAATATTAGCATCCTTGCCAAATTGCACATAGGAAAATTATTGATTTTTAGTTCTCAAATATTTTAGAGGTGTAATCTGAATGGAGGTTCTTTTCTTGCCTGGAGGCGAGCAAGTAAAGTGCTTAAAAGGTAATTGGGACAGTTATGGGAAGAACAGCGTGTCAAATGCAAAATTGCGTTTCCTGGGGACTGTTTTATAGGGATGAGGCTGTGTCTTAGAAGAAATGGTTAAAAAGAGACTAGGAAGACTGATAGAGTGATCGGTACCCAAACTCAGCAATTAAAGGTTGAATTCTTCAGGGGACTTACTCTGTGTCCTTAGGCAAGTAATATTGAGTATTGTGCCATAATCCATTTGAGAAAAATATGTTATCTACTTGACCGAATATTTCCAGGGTATATCTAATATCCTGCTGAGTGCTCAGAACAGCTAGCGGTGCTGTTTCTGCTTTAGGTAATTCTCCAACGTGAGTCGGAGAATAGAAATACCCTTATGATGAATATTGGTAAGTGTTTAGATGGAAAGTTAGGATTGGAGATCAAGGGAAATTGGTTGTATCTGTGAATTATATTGTCTTCTAGTATTTTTAGCTGTAACTTTCAACACGCTGATTGTCCTGAAGATGAAATATAAAGTCTACTTCATTTCACACATGCACTCTTGCTTCTAGTCAGGTCCACTTTCTGAGTACAACACAAATGGCAAATTGTCTAGTTTAATTGCCCAAGCTTTAGGGAACGAAGGAGATAATACAACACTGAAGAGAAATAACCCTTGTGTACTGATGATAAAACCTAGGTGAAATGTTTATCTTGTCCAGGCCTGTCCAGCTCCCACTGGCTGAGAAAGAAACGAACATGACCACAGGAGAGCCAGTTGTGATGTCAAGTTTATTTATATGTAGAATGAATACTTCTCAATTTAAGAATCAATCGTTAAAACAAGGGGAAGACATGTCTAATACATGCATTTTCTGTTAGGAGTTTTCTCTCGGTAGTTCCTCTGAGTATCATTGTTATCAGGCTGCATTTTTAATTCAATGAAACATGAAAAGATTCTATTCTAAATTGGAATGCTTCAGACTTTTACTGGTTCTCCTTGTCTTTTCTTTTCTCTTTTAGTACTTCAAGAAGGGAACTGCACAGACCCTGGGGGCCCAGTCAATGGGTACAGGAAAATAACAGGAGGCCCTGGGCTGATCAATGAGCGCTATGCAAAAATCGGCACTGTTGTGTCCTTCTTTTGTAACAACTCATATGTTCTCAGTGGCAATGAGAAGAGAACTTGCCAGCAGAATGGAGAGTGGTCGGGGAAACAGCCCATTTGCATAAAAGGTAACTTGCAAATATTCCTGAAATCTATAGAAATGGATGGAGTTGTTGGACTTTTTGGGAGCTCTCATACATGTTTTTGGGCCCGTGGAAAAATATCTCTCTCTCTCTTAAGTTCTCATTGGAATCATATATTACTCTTGGGTTGGAAACCATCCATAAGAACGTTTGCTTCTTTTTTGGACCTGCTTATCCTGATCACAACATCTTGACGTGGTTAAGAGGAGTGATGTCGTTATCAGAGCAGCTTAGGAAAAATGGCAGGGCTGAGTTTTATATGTGTAAACCCAAGGACAGAATTGACGCAATTAATACGCATTTATATAGCTTCATTTATCTACTCTCTATGCAATGTTAAGTTAGGGCAGGAAATAAAAGAACAAAACAGACACATCATCCCAGCCAGCCTATGTGGGGGGAGGTTTGTGTTGTTAAGATGTCTAAAAACATCTTTCAAAGACAGTAAGCCATTGAACGTTCAAGGCAGAGTTACAGGAACTGACAAGTAGTGTACATTCAAGAAAGGAGTGATCAGTATCGCCCGAAATAGGGGCAATTGCATGAAGCAAGTAGGGTTGGAGCCAGTAGGAGAGGCCGGGAAGGATTTGTAGAGACGAAGAGGAATTGGGATGATATTCCAGTCGGAAGACAAAGGAGAAGAAAAGAGGTGTAGTCAGAAGTCAGAGAATCACGTAAACTCGAAGTGAGGCAATCTGGGGATCTGGGAGGTAACTTTAGAAAGATGGTTTGAGACCAGGAGAAAAAGGCGTGTTGTAGAGAGAAGTTTGGACCTTCCGCCTTGGCGGCGGGGCTGTGTAGTTTCTCACTAGTTGCTCCAGGTCAACAGTCTCTCTGTTTGAGGTCACAATTATCTGGCTGTTTCCTGGGAAGAAAAGCATATCCTTGGCCTAGATTATCTAGATAATTGCCTCAATCCTCCACTTTCCCTCCTGGGTGTTTGTCAACAACCCAAATCATGGGAAAAGGAATGAAAGAGAATGGTTTATGAAAGGAATGAATCACTTTAGACTTTAGCCAGAAGCGACCTCCATCCCCACCAGCACAGACTCTGATTCTTGGCTTCATTAAGTATGGAAACGGTGTTACCTATGTCCTTGGAGATTTTTGTCAACTCTTCTCTTACAAATTAATACAACCAATGTTCCCTAGGTTGCTAATTAGATGAATGTTGGCTGCTTGATTGGGAAAGTGCGATGGGGAGGGTTCCTTTTCACTTGTGAAGAAAGAAGGACTTGAGCAAGATCAAACTGGGCTTTGAGTTGCCATCAAGTGATCGTTCGGGGCCTTTGTTGCAGAGAGGACATGGTGCAATCCAAGACCTAGGACGGTTGACACTGCTGTCTGGTTTCAAATGAGAACCTCGTAACTCCCTATGTTGGGCTGTATTTTAGAACCTTCGCTTTGACTCATTTTGATCAAGTTCACTCATATTTATGTGAATAGATAATCCCAGTCTATTAACTGCCGTTGTTCCAAATCGCCCAGGTGGAGCGGCTTTTCAGAGGTGTTTGTTCTCCTTGGGCTCTTCAGCGGGTGCTGTCAATTTAGGCGAGAGGCAGCATGCTTTTTTGCTGAGGGAGCTGTCCAAGCTCGGCTGACATTTCTCACCTGAGAGAGCCTGGCGAATGTACACCTGGTATCCAGAAAGGGTGGTCAGGTATGAATCTGAATGGAAGGATGCAAAGACGGAATAAGATTATGCAGCATCGTCTCTTTTCTTCTAGCCTGTCGAGAACCAAAGGTCTCGGACCTGGTGAGACGGCGAGTTCTTCCGATGCAGGTGCAGTCCAGGTGAGGCTGAAACACCTGAACTCTGCTTTAAAGGCAAACGCTCCCCTCCTACCCCCTTTCCCTCCTTGTGTTTGGCCAAAGGCAGCCTGGGGTTTCTTCGGGACACTGTGCTGCTGGCCAGGAAAGAACAGGGCTAGTTAGGTGGAGGCTTATTAGCCAGCTGCCTGTAGCCAAGAGGTAGCAACTCTTGGAAGAAGTACAGATGTCACTGGATCGTGGGAAAGTAGGTGTTTGGCAGAAAGCAAGACTTTATGATGATGTCTGAGGAACTGGATTTTAATACTTGAATCTTCCTGAAATCACTACCTATTTATTATGGCAGGCTCTAGGGAGGTGGCATTCCTACCCAAAGCAGCCAGCGATGGCTCAGGAAGGTGTTCGTGGTAGCACCCAACAAGAGGAGGCAGGCTGGTGGGGCCCAGGAACTAGAGATAAATGACCAGCGCTCGTGAAGGATGTGAGCCCTCCGGGACACCCAGCCTTTCTCCTAGAAACACATAGATGGGGACCACCTGGTGGGGAGAGAAGAGGCCCATTTCTCCTTTTCCTCCTCCTATTTTGTAGGAATAGTGTTCTCATCTCATCTCCTACCGTTCTCTTCCTCACTCTCCACTCCACCTACACGGACCACCTGGCTTTTCCTCTCTCCCTTCAAGCACGATTCTGCTTCACTGTAAGGAACCTGCTTCCCCTGGATTTCAATAAGGCTCAATACTTCGCTTCCTTCAGTTCTCTGCTCAGTTTTTACCTGGCAGAGAGACCTTCCCTGACTGTCTTTTGAAAATACCACTCCTCCTCCCCCTCCCCCGACCACTCAGCTGACTTCTGTCCCCAGTTCTCTTTGGCCTTTGCAGGGATCTCCAGGTTTCACCTTAGCATCCCTTTCCACCTGTGGCCTTACGTATGTTTTTCTTGTTTATTTGTTCGATTTCTATCTCCTCCCTGCACACCAAAAAGACCCCATGAAACCTGAAAGTTACAAGTGCAAGAGCACTTCTGTTCTGTCCTAGCTGGAGTTCTAGTGCCTAGAGCGGGGTCTGCCACAGAGCGGCGCCTGAAAAAACGCAGTGAGCAGGTGGGCTGCGTTGCCAAACAAGACCTCAAGACCTGGTGTTGCCTCTTTAGTGCTGGGTGTTCTGGGGCAAGTTCCTGACGTGCTGAGGTTTGGGTTTCCTCTTTTGAGAAATAAGGATGATCATAATGGCCTCTGTCTCTCGGGATCAGTGTGAGGAGGATTCAGTGCGGCGCTAACAGCTAGCGTTTATCGTGTGCTGTGTGCCAGTTGCACTTCTGACTGCTTTCCGTGTATTAGCTCATTTAATCCCCACTACAACGTCTGAGGTGGGTATTATTAGTGTTTTGTTGTGAGTGCCGTCGAGCGGATTCTGACTCCTAGCCACCCTGTGTGCCGCAGAGCGGAACCCTGCTCAGACTTTCTGCGCCCTGCTCTCACCTTCAGCGCTCTATCAGACAAGGCTCCACGGCTCTTCACAGGGTTTTCATGGCCAGTTTTTTCGGAAGTGAGTGGGCAGGTGCTCCTTCCTAGTCTGTTGATTTGGAAGCTCTTCTGAAACCTGTCCACCATGGGGGACCCTGCTGGTATGTGAAATCCCAGTGTCACAGCTTTCAGCATCACAGCAACACGCAGCCACCACAGTATGACACCTGACAGACCTGTGGTGTGGGTCCCTGACCGGGAAATGAACCCAGGCGGCTGTGGTGAGAGCACTGAATCTTAACCACGAGATCATCAATTATTATTATAACCATTTATAGGTTTTATTACTGTTTTTATTACAGATGGCTAAACTGAGGCTCAGAGAAGTCAAGTAACTTGCCCAAGGTCACCTTGCTAGAAGAAGTGGCAAAGCCAGGATGCAAATCCAGGGTCTTCAGGGTCTGAAATTTTCAAGGTCTGCCCCCTTATGCACTGAGCTTTAGCTAAGCCTTACTTAAATACCTTAGCAGAACACCTTGCACGCATAAACACCCGTCAGTAGCTATTGTTTTGAGAGATAGTAACAATGCGTCTTAGTGACTAGAATTGACCTGAACCAAGTAACCTGAAACGTTTTCAAATCCAGCTATACGCAATCTCTCACCTGCCTCTGGCTATCCCATTTCTCTCTTTTCCTCTCCAGGCAGGGCGTGTCCCGGGGGCAGGGGCAGTGGGATCTACGTTCTGCCCCTTTTCTGGTCTCCATGCTTTACTTGGGCTGGACTCTCCACTGAGCAGGGCAGGCCTGTGCTTCCCAAGGAGACGTCTGGGAGGCGAGGCCCTGAGCTGCTAAAAAAGATCACCAGGCTGGGCATTTTTAAAGCAAGTGTCAGGGGAGCTTAGGTGCCAGGTGTCTCATGTAGATGAGAAAGCAAGCCTAAAACTTGGTTTTAAGGATCTTTCTGGAAGACAGGCTGCTGGAATAGGGCTGTGTCTATCTCCAGCAGCCAGGCTCACCCAGGAACGCCCAAAGGCAGTGTCGGCCTTCAACACACAAAAGATGAGCTTGTTTACAAGTTCAGAAGCTCCCGGAACTGCAGACCTGGTTCTAAACACGAGCTAATGATTTGTTGAGTGAAATCAGCGTGGATGGAATGTTTGCTCTGAGCAAGGCTCTGTGCAGACACATGAAATAGATTTCTTAAGATGACGTTAAATTGGCATGGTGGAGACCCCAGCGGGGAGTTGTGACTGCTAAGCCCTGCTTGGGTACCATCCTGGCTTCCTGTGTGCCCTGTGCACTCCCTCTTCCCTCTCTGGGCTTCCTTTCTCCACAATAAACAGGGATGAAAACGTTCATTCCTAAAGGAATCCTAACTGTTCAGTTAGCGGTCGTTATGCACGGATGGAAAATGAGCACCAGCAGTCCAGTGTGCGCACATCTCCTCCAAGAATCCTGGAGGGTCTCTGGGGTTTCAGCTTCAGGGCTCAGTTAAGAGGCCTTTCCCGTTTGCACACAGTGCTCCACATTTCTCCCGATCAATGTGCCTGAAAGAAGGCTCTGTTCTCTGAGGTGTACTAATTACATCCGCTAACTGCTGAATCAAGCTGCTGTATCAACACAGTTTAGTTCGAGTCAATTCCTAATATTGCCCCATTATGATAATGGTTGGAGAAAAAAATACACCTGGATTTCTCTCATTCAAATTAGCTTCCGTTCCTGTTTAATTTCACAATTAATTTTGTGTGTTTGCATGTAGAATCTTTGGATAGCAGCTATTATGCCAGATATTATCCTCTTTGGCTAAAATCCGAGGCAGTTGGAGGCATGCCAGAAATGGAAATGGAGGAACACAATGAAGGTTGAAGTGTGCAGAGGATTTGCTCATTGGTAGGGGGGAGGTGTGTATGTGTGTGACACAGAGAGAGAGAGAGAGGGAGGGAATGGGGGCTGGAGAAAGAGAGAGAAACAGAGAATGAGAGAGCTACGTTTTTGTTCTGTAACCAATGTCTCCCTGGGGATTGGCGAGGATGCTGAAGGGGCCACAGTGACTTTTTTCTCGCCCTCTCCCTCTCTGGCCCCGTGTGCCCTGGTGCAGGGAGACACCGTTACACCAGCTGTATTCGTCAGCCTTCAGCAAGCAGAAACTGCAGGCTGCCCCCACGAAGAAGCCAGCCCTTCCCTTTGGAGACCTGCCCGCTGGGTACCAACATCTGCACACCCAGCTCCAGTACGAGTGCATCTCGCCCTTCTACCGCCGCCTGGGCAGCAGCCGGAGGACGTGTCTGAGGACCGGGAAGTGGAGTGGGCGTGCCCCGTCCTGCATCCCTAGTGAGTAAAGGCTTGTCCTTGGGCTGGAGCGCCTTACATCTTCCATGGCTGCTCGTGAAAAGCCATTAACCTTGTTGAAGACTTTGGGAAACGCTCCTTGTCCAAACGAATGGTCTTCCAGTACTTTCCCTCGCTTGGTGATGTCTGAAATTCCCCAGTTAGATCTTCCTTCCTTTGGCTTAAACTTAGTACCCAGGAGAAATTAACTCATTAAATCTTAGATGAATTTTTTGGGAAGGGGGCATCCTTTTTGTGGATAATCCTATCATATTTACTTGGAGAAAAGAGAGAGAGCAGTCATTAAACACAAAGTGGGCAAGGAGGTAAAGGTTCAGAGGGCTTCTGCTTATGTGATCTTGCTTACCCTGCCCAAGGCCCAGTTTTCATGCTCACCATCCAGTGGGATTAAATAGGTAATTGTTATTAAGTAGGTATGAGGTATTGATTACCCATAAGATTATGATGATGATTACTGAGATCATATGTGGAAGTATCCGGAATAGGGTCTTGCACATACTGAGATATGTTGCCCATCCTTTTTGTCAAATGATATCAGTTATGGCTTGATTCACTGTGGTCATGTTTATAATAATAGTCGTGACCTTCTAAGTCTACCTGTTAAATATATCTTCTCATCCAGTCTCCTCAAGAACCCTATGAGATAATTGTGATTGCTGTACCCATTTTGCAGGCAAGAAGACTGAGATTCTAAGAGATTAGGTAGCTTGCCCAAAGTCCTATTGATAGGAAGTGCCTGGGATTGGAAGCCTCCAATCTTAGCCCTAGACTTTATAGTCAACCATGTCACAGTGGTTGATTAATCTTTAAAAGAAAAGAAAAACAGGCTAGATGCTTACTGGTCATCACCCATGGGGCTCACCCTTCCAGATTTGTGCTTTCTTGCTTGAGTCACTCATCTTCCCCTTTGGATGGGAAGGTCTGAGTTGATCTTACTGACCTGGTGCTTTCTTCGTAGTCTGTGGGAAAACTGAGAACATCACTGCTCCAAAGACCCAGGGGCTGCGCTGGCCGTGGCAGGCGGCCATCTACAGGAGGGCCAGCGGGGTACACGGTGGCAGCCTGCAGAAGGATGCATGGTTCCTGGTCTGCAGCGGTGCCCTGGTGAACGAACGCACTGTGGTGGTGGCTGCCCACTGTGTAACTGACCTGGGGAAGGTCACTGTGATCAAGACAGGAGACCTCAACGTCGTCCTGGGGAAATTCTACCGGGATGATGACCGAGATGAGAAGACCATCCAGAGCTTGCGGGTGAGAGAGGCTGCAACCTGGAAAGTGGGTGCCTGGCTCAGCAGACTCCCAGCACCAGGGGGGCGGTGGCTGTGTCAGTCCTGTGACGTTGGCACTTTAGGACACAGCTCAGAGCCTGGCGTGTAGCAGGCGCCCAGTATTTCATATTGACAGATACCCGAAAGACTATGGAGTCTTTTTTCCCCTTTAATATTTTTTTAAAAGATAGTAACAAATATCATCATTTCGGTCATCAAAAGTTCATTACCTATTATGTTTAGGGCATTGTACTATTTGGGCTTTGAGGACATAGAGAGGTTTTTTCCAAGGTACTCCTAATCAGTTTATAATATTCTTCTCTGTTTCCCAGTCTGTCTCCCTCCCTCTCTTCCATCCACCCATCCATCTATCCTTCCATCCATCTGTCCATTCTATGATCCATCGATTTGATCCATCCATCCAACCATCCATCCACCCAACCACCCACCCATCCATCCATCCATCCATCCACCCACCCATCCACCCATCCACCCATCCATCCATCTGTTGTTGAATGGCATACTCCCACAGTATGCCATTCACTGGGAATATATACAGAACTGAGTAAGGCATGATTTTTCCCCTGCAGAGTCCAAGCCTAGTGGAAGAGACAGACCAGTATATTGCGATTAATTTGACACAAGGGAAACCCTGAGGAGATGTGTCCAAATGTAGTTGAAATAATAGAAACTGTACATAAAGATGTCACAATGTATCATGGACATAAGCTCCTCGAGGCCTCCATCAAAGAGAATGGTCAGCAAGGATAGGGACAATCAGGGAAGAGTTTGTGGAAGAGTCTTGTGGAACATTCTGGGTGTAGTTCTATCTTCCTGGCTTGAAGGTAAATGAAATGTTTACAGTGAACCAGAGGTCGCAAACCGGTAGCCTGTAGAGGTTTGTGTTTTGATGGTGCCAACATTTATTTTTTAATCAGTTACTTACCAACATTTAAAAATCAGGAGGTTTCCGATAAAGATCTGGAGTGTGTTCTCTGACAAAGTTGGAATGCTGGCCCCATTTCTGCGTGGCAGTGGTCAGCTGGAGCAAAGTGGCTGCTGCTCACTTTAGATGGGATGTGCACGCTCATTCTCTGCAGCCTTATCTGTCCACTCCACATATTTAACACTGCCTGCCAGGCTCAATAGACATTTCAGTTTGCAACCCTGGAAAGAGCAATTGCTTTGTATGATCTCTTAAGTAAAGTATCTTCAAATGATTGCAACTGTCTCCTTGACATTTTTCCCGATGATTTAGCCCTGGGGCTTGCCTGTTCTTGTTCACCAAGGAGTTGGCTCTCACCATCGCTGTCTCTTCCTTGCATTTGTAGATTTCTGCAATCATTCTCCATCCCAACTACGACCCCATCCTGCTGGACGCTGACATCGCCGTCCTGAAGCTCCTGGACAAGGCTCGCATCAGCACTCGCGTCCAGCCCATCTGCCTCGCGGCCCCTCGGGACCTAAGCACCTCCTTCCAGGAGTCCCGCATCACTGTGGCCGGCTGGAACGTCCTGGCAGATGTGAGGAGCCCTGGCTTCAAGAACGACACGCTGCGCTCGGGGGTGGTCAGGGTGGTGGACTCGCTGCTGTGCGAGGAGCAGCATGAAGAGCGCGGCATCCCGGTGAGTGTCACAGACAACATGTTCTGTGCCAGCCGGGACCCCACCGCTCCTTCCGACATCTGCACGGCAGAGACGGGGGGCATCTCAGCTGTGTCCTTCCCGGGACGGGCGTCTCCTGAGCCACGCTGGCATCTGGTGGGGCTGGTTAGCTGGAGCTATGACAAAACATGCAGTCACAGCCTCTACACGGCCTTCACCAAAGTGCTGCCTTTTAAAGACTGGATCGAGAGAAACATGAAATGAGCCTCAGGCCCACTGAGAAGTACCCAGCCGCACCTGTGTGGCACGAGGCACAGTGGACCTGAAGGGCGATCCTGTCCATGAACTTGGCTGGGCCAAGGTTGTGATTTCAGGGACTAAGCTCAGTGGAGGACGAAGGGAGCTCACTCCTTGGTGGGCCACTGCCCCCCTGACTGCTCGGACCATTTGGAAGACACCAGAGCTGTTAGCAAGAACTGACTTTCTTCAAAAAAGACGATAATGAATAGCAAGGAAAATGTTCCCATTCAACCAACCTGGTGGCCTCCCCAACCCCTTCAGTGACGGGAATGTCATGGTCAGCTCTGATCGAGAGAGGGTGGACCAGGACATCTGGGCCTCGTGAGCTCTCTTCCAAGGCTCCAGCCAGACCCAGTTCCAAGGTGCTGCCTGCAGGCCAGCCCAGGGCAGTGGAGCTTGGGTGTGGCGTCGGCTTTTCTGTACGTTGTCACACCGCGTGGTCCTTTTCCTTCCCAATTCCCTATACACATTTTAATAAATCGAGGATTGGCTTCTCTCCTACAGAACAAAGGTGCTACGGCTCTGATTCCTGCACGCTGCTTCTCTGAGCTACGTGTGTCAGGGCCAATGACTTGGTGACAGCCCCTTAAAATAGATCCTAAAGTTACGGTTCCCAAGTAATGCATATGGCAAAGCCATGCCGTCTTTCCAGTGCTTGGAGTTTGCTGGGTCATAGACTGGAGGATGAGGGACATGGTGCCATCAGATAAGGCACAGAGGACAATACCAGGGGTTAGATGATTTCTGGGGTCCCCTCTGGTTCTCTTGTTCTAGATCTAACACAAAACCCTGCTTTGAATCTCCATCAATCTTTTGACATATTTTCATAGCATATGAATTGGAATCACTTATTTACTTATACTAGATTGAAATATGGCAAGAAACTGTAGCTTCAGTGTTTTCTATAATTTATGTGATTTGCCTTTCAAGCCCCACCCCCAGCTCCCACTGGATAGTGGAGGAAACGATGAATTGAATCCAATCCAATCCTTGGAGCCATCTTTTCAGTAACTATCTCTTTTTGGGGGGACTCATTCCTTTATCCTTTCTCCAGTTTCCTCCTCTCCAAGATGGTACCGTGGAAGCTTGTGCAACTTCAAGCACTGGGGCCCAGTAGGACTCTGAGTTCCTGCAGGTTCTTGGGTGTGTGTGGTGGGCGTTCTGCTGACACTGACTTTGGGTGCTGGGGTCTGTAACTACTGTAACTTGTGCTGTGTTCTCTCTGCTTCCCTGGGTCCTCCCCGCCAATGTGGCCCCACCTCAGCTCTGGCTGGCACTGGTGCTCCTGAGATGTGGGGGTGACTTCTCTTTGACCCTGGTTTGGGTCACTCAGCCTCATTGCCACAATGGTGTCCTTCTCTGGCAGCTACCCAGCCAGACTCTCAGTGACCTCCCATCCACCCCCGGGGTCTTGTGGAAACTTCTCCATCTTTTCTGTATCTCAAGAGGGCTGAGAGCCCAGGGTTGGTACAGGGCACCCTGGGAGACATTCGTTCCCTATAGACTGAAACAGGAACTTTACTCTTCCTCAGGCTGTCAGAGAACTTTGACCTCAAAGACTTTAGCCCCAAGACAGGAGGTCAGGACACATTTGTCTCCCAACCTGTCTCGCCATCTCTGTGTCTTTACACAATTCCCTGAGCCAGAAGAGAATTTCTGGTACTTTTTCTTTTCATCAGGCTTTCTTGGAGCTTTCTATGACTCACATCCTGCTCCTTTCGGCCACCCCCCGCATCCCCGTGGTTTAATCTAAGAGCAAGGCAGTGGTTATCAACTTCTGAGTTACACTCAACGCTTACTGGGTTAAAACAAAACATGCGCATTCCCTCCTGGTTTCAGTGGGTCAGGAACCGGGGAGCTAAAGCTGACGTGAGGTCGCTGTCGTCTGAGACCCCCACTGGGGCTGGAGCACTGGATTTGACAACGATGATCAGGTCGCTCAAAAGTTTTTCTTTCTTTTTTTAAGCCTAGAAAGCTTGGAGCTTGAAAGGTGTAGCAGAAGTCCCATCAAAGAGATCTGAATTCAAATCCTGTCTTTCAACTTCTTTCCTAAGTGATCTTGGGCGAGTCAGCTGCCCTCTCTACCTCAGTTCCATCAGCTGCTAGGTTGATATAATAAAGCCTGTCTTTTGTGGGAGCTGCGACAGTTCAGCGAGATAGTGTGTGAAGCAGTGATGATAGTGCTCGGCACATAGTTGGGGGCTGCGGGACCTGGAGGGGCAGGGCTGTCCGGTGGGCACGGGTCCACACAGCCTCCGCACCTGCCTCTGTGGGCGCATCTCACACGGGGGCCCACGCTCACATTCTCCATTCTCTAGCTCTGGCCTGGCCCCTCACCTGGGCCATGATGTTCACTGCTTTCTTGACATTCTCTTTACTGCTTAGTGTCATTTTTCATCCTTGCCTCGCCGTTCAGATTTGGTTCACATTTATGTCATCCCAGCCAAGACTCTGATCCCCTCAGAAGCTGAGTCTGGCCCCAAATCCTGGTAATGGCACCTCGGGGCGCTTGGTTAATAGCCAAATGGTCATGTACCGCCCCCCCCTCCCCAATCTTCTTACCCCAGCACTGCTCTCGTGAGCTGCAAGAACTCAATCACAGTAATGTAAGAATCTAGGTCAGGACAAGAGAGTCAGACATGAGCCTGTCCCTTGGCCATATCTGGTGCTGCAGGAATGTCATCCATCTCCCTTCATAACATGGCCCCTTGCATCGTAGGATAGAACTCCAAGAATGAGAGATCTCCTGTCACCTGGGAATCTGGAGTGTATTTCAGTCGGAGTTTTTTCAGAGAATCAGAACTTCTAAGAGTCATATAGAATCAGAGATTGTAATGACCATATACAGTTGTGGGCACTGGGGGAGAGGTCTGTACAAGCCTGTTGCCTTTGTGTCTGGTATTGGACCTGAAATCAACTGGGCTGGCAGTAGGGAAGGAAAGCTGGATGTGAAGTTGGCAGAGCAAGGACAAACTGCAACACATGAGGGCAAAAGGAAACTCATGTTTGTCTCTTGCTGTCCACAACCTCAATGGTGTGAGTGACCTGCAGGAGAAGCTGGCACCCTTTGCATGTAGCTGCACAGACACCTGGTCCAGGACACTCAGAGAAGCTGGAAGAGGATTTCCAGCAGGTGCCAGAGGAGCTGTGGGCCTGGGTGCTATCTCACCCCGCCAAGGGAGCTGGTAGGTCAGTGACGTTGTGTGTGAACTGCTCCAGTGTCTGACGTGCTATACTGACGGTCAGAACATGGAGACAGCTCTCGCTTCATTCGCCTCTTCAAATCTCTTCTAAGTTTCTCTTGCGCCCAGTTTAACCCAGAACCATACAAAGATCCCTTTGTATCTTGCCTATGAACAGACAAATGCAAGGTCACTACGCAAAGCACAGAGGTACCAAATATCCCCCTCCTGCTGCTGCTTTCCCACTTACGGCTTTAGGCGTGATCTGTTCTTCCTTCCTTCTAGACAAGATGGAGATGGACGATTATAGAATTCTCTCCTGCTTGAGATGCTTCCTGGCAGCGTCCAATCCAGAACAAAGCCCTACTTCCTTGAAATCTCCTCCAAATCACCTAACATAAGCCCAAACCCTATAATTTCTTTCTAAGACTCTCTTGATGAGACATTGATGTACATTTTCCTTCACTTCAAAGAGCAATAAATTCAACATGTTCAACTACAAGTGTGTTTCTGCTGGGCTTTTGTTGGAAGTCATTAAAAAAAAATATATATACACACATGTATATGTATATATGTATGTGTATATATATACACACACATACATACATATGTGTATATAAGTAAGAATCTTGTCTAAATCATATAGACCTTACGTCAATTTTATGTACCTATGCTTAAAAGATTAAGCATGGAGGGGGCTGCCATGGAGAAGGGCCAGTTATTTCCCAACATGAACCCTTTAGTACAATGACAGGTCAGGTTGCCAGACAAGGAAAGCCCGGTCAAGGGGATGCCAACTGGTGGTGGATCTCAAATGCTAAAATTAGTAATTTGGTTTCTTATTGCCCATTTGCAAATATCAAGCTCATTTTGATGTTTCCAAGAGAGTGGAAGGATAGAAGTGGAATTCTAGAAAGCCCCATCAGGCTGGCTGTGCTAGACAGAGGCAGTGGTGAGAAGACCCAGCCTGAGCTCAGGTTCTAGCTCTGTTATCCACCTGCTGTGACCTTGAGTATGACACTCAATCTCTACCTGGACTTGCCTTGTCTGTAAATGGGAGTGAAATGACATGAGGATTCAGTGGGATAATGTTAACATGAGCTAAGTATCTAGAACAGTGTCTGACCCACTACACTCTACAAATATTGGCTGCTATTATGCTGGCGGTTGTTTTGTTGTTTTCTTCAGGAGGAAGACATTGGAGATCAAGAACCCAGTTACGAGAACCCTCATGAGGGGTGGAGAGAGGAAGGGAGGTTTTAGCGTTGAGGTCCGAGCATGTGGAAATAAGTTTCGCAATCTGTGGAGTGAGGTAAATAACAGGAAAGGGTGGGCAGAAGCAAATGGGGCCATGGGTGAGAAGAACCAAGAACCAAGAGCAAGGAGCAAGGGGATTGTGTAAGTGGGAGCTCACTGGATGAGTTTCTGAGACAGAGTGCCAGGGCTTCCAGTGAGTTTTTACACACTTCCCTATCTGCCGGTGTGTGTGTCGGGGGAGAGAGTACAGAACAGGCTGGTCTTATTAAAAGGACCAGGCTCAGTGGACAACTAGGAAATTGATAGCCATCTCACCCCCTTTTTTGCAGCATAATATCCATTGTCCTCAGGAGTTATTGGGATGGGATTTGAATATGAATCTTTACAGTTCTTTAGGATTGAGGAATTTTCATGCTGTTAGAATTCATCGCCTACTCAAAACTTAATGGGCCTTTCACATTTACCTCCTATATCACAATATTAGTCGATAAAATCTCTTCCCTCCTGAATTCAATCAAGAATTGTGAGCTTATTGATTTTCCTACCTGTCATTCATTCATCAACAAAAATTTATTGAGTGCCAAGGACTGAAACACGAAAGGGGTACAAAATAGGCTTGGTGCTTACGCTTAGTCATATCATCCCAGAAATACATGCATCATTAGAAATCGTGAGAAGTACTAGGAAGGAGAATGCAGGGTGCTGTAAAACTGTATCACAGGGGTAACTGGGTTAATCTGGAGGTGATGGGGTCAAAGGTTTGCCTCCCTGAGGAAGTGATGTCTGAGTCGAGAAAGAGTTGAGTTCCAGGTGGAGAGTGCGAAGTGGGGAAGAGCATTTCAGACAGATGAGCATGTGCAAAGGTGTTGGGAAGGAGGGCTCTTGGCATATTTGAGGAACTTCTGGAAAACCATAAGGCTGCAGGGGAAAGGCTGCGGAGGAGAGAGCTGTGATGTGAGGCTGGAAATGGTGTCCCATGGTGTCCGGCCACCTGGGGAGCTGGGAGAGTTAGATGAGAAGGCACTGTCAGGACCACACTGCGTATATCAAACCCATGAATTCCTATCATGTGCACTAGGAATTATTTGTGAGGTCATCAATGCATCAAGCATGGCCTTTGGCTTTGACTTGGGTTTTTCTGTCATCTTTCTAACCTGGACATGAATGGAGACCTTGAGTCTCATTGCACTGACCCAACTGCATATTCTTCTAACAGGGAATTATCCTCCATGAAGATGAGGTGAGTTAAAAGAAGGAAGCTGACAGCCAACGCAAGATGCAAAGAAGCGGGACCTGTATCTTCACTCCTGTCTTATTTTTTACCCTTCTTTAGTGTCCTGTGAAAATTTTGAGTGGAATACTTTGGATCCCCAGGGCTTGGGGAAGTTTATCTCTTCAGGGCTGTTGGAAAGACGCGGACGTTTTGGAGGGGTTTGGTAACAATTTGTGGTCTCTGCTTTTCTTGGCAGCAGGACCCGCTTTCCCCAGCAGAGTTCTGCCCGGATGTGCTGCTGAGGCCCAGCCTTTTAAGAAGACTGTCTCAATGGCTGAGTTTGCAGGGCTCACTCCACGTTTGTCTTCCAGTTCACCGACTGTTTATCCAGAGGCTTGTGGACTAGGGTTGACGGAGAGATTTGTCAACAAAGACAAAAAAGTCAGTAGATAAAACTAGGGAATAGCTTTCTCAGGTGAAGAATAATAGCAGAAATTGAATTCTCAGAGAACAATAATCGGTTATGTTCCTGAACTTATAGTTTCTAGGCAAAGGTAATTCTAAAGAAAAGAGAAAGAAAGAAGCTTATTAATCCTTATTTGGAAAGGGGAACAGAGTGTTACAAATAAAACCGGATCCAGGTGCTAATAAATGAACCCTCCAAATGAATTGGGATCCTTCTAATTTAATGTCGTTTCGCAAAGGCATAATTCAGCTTTTGATTGAAAAAAATGCGCTGAATCTGTAATCTCAATTTAGAACTAAATTATCTGGTTGTTCTCTTTCTTTCTCTTAATAAGGAAAATAACTTTGTAGGAAAAATACTTTTGGTATTTGATACAAAGCCTCTCTTGGAATTACCAAGTAATTTCATAAAGAGGTAAATAGAGAAAATAGAACAAGAAACACATTGCTGGATTTTCTGAGGTCACGGGAGCCTTGCTAGGGTCCTCAATTCAGGCCTCTAGCCAAATCATTTAGCATTTAACCACAGTGAACGGATGTCAAGCAAAGAAATCCCTGCAAAGATAAAACATTTTCTCTCCATCCTTCTGCCCATCATGAAGATGTCACTACTGAATATTGTAATGTCCCAGTGGAACAAAGGGGAGGGGAAGATGCGTAACTGGCATTCTTTGCCACAGTTAGAGGAGACTGAGGGTAGAAATTAAAATAACAGCAATCACTCTCAAAAAGTATTTCCACTTTATATAGGACTAAGCTATTAAAACAGAGACAGTCACTCTAATTCACATTTTCATAGTTTTTATGGTGGGCATAAAGAATTCGCACCAACCCTGACATTCAGCCTCCAGTCATCTCAGAAGAAGATGCTGACGTCTAGGAATGATATACCAAGAACTCACAATTCATCTTGTTCCACCGTCTCCTTTCCTTTTTCATCTGTACTAAGTACACGGAATGAATTCACGCTCTTTCCATTAGAACTCACCAGGCAATAAGTGTAGCTAACAGATGTCTTAGTCTTCCCCAGCTCTCTACTTAATGAGATGGTTTCTGCCTCAAGAATGGATTATATTTAGACTGAGTTCTCAGCCTGAATTGAGATTTCTGTGAAGTAACATCTCTTTTCTCATCAGCGTAGAGAGTGGTAAAAATAGAACCCCCTTCCTTCTCTTTTGCTAATGTGTTAACAGGAAAAGAGTGAATGAACTCAACTGGTATCTTACTGCTCCACATATCTGCGAGATGGATAATTTCCTTTGCTCTCTCTTCACTGACCACAATGGACAAACGGAGCTACAGGCAGGCTCCTCTGTAGCTGTGCTATGTCGTTGGATCCAGAGCATTACTACTATATTATTTTTAAGTGATGAGAACAGTGGCAGCCAGGAGGCTGACATACTAAAGATGATGATAGCTATCACTGTGTGCCAGGAACCATGTAAGTGCATTATGGGACAAGGCCTCATTTAGTTCTTATAGGGGCCCAGTGGATGGGGTCATTACTGTCCCCATCAATGCCCAGAGGGTTAAGGGACTTACTCAAGGTCATTCAAAATGGAAAGAAGGAATGACAACTCAATTTGAAACTCACTGCTCCAAATATGGTTGAGACGGATGGTTCCCAGGTGGGTCTAATTCTGAAGACCATGCTGTAACTTGTACTGTGACCACCTTAGCATTCTGAATACGATGATCTGGGGCAGCCACTATGGAAATTCTCCTCCTGCCATTACCACTCAACACCCCTTCTCTTTCTAAAAGCTTCTCATTGTCAATTTAGTTTCCTTCCGGCTTCTCCAGTTTCTCTCTCAGATGCTTTTGGCTTCAGGGCCAATGCTGGTGAGAACAGCATCTTTTCTCTAAAATAGGAACATTAGATGATAATTTGCATTCATGTTTTTCATTCGTCCTCAAAATAGCACACATTTTTGAAAAATTAGCATACTCATATTAATTGTCTGGATGGAAGGGCCTCCAATATTTCCTCTGTTTTATTTACTTTTAAAAAACCTTAAGGTGACTAGTGCTGGATTCTTAATGATTGGCCAAAGTTTTAAAAGACAGATCCGCATGGACACGCAGCTTCTGGTTCCCTGGGTGTTTAGGAAGGTAGGGGACAGACAGCTAGTGTGTCCACGCTCTGTGCCAGGCCCTGTGATGTCTGCTTTGCAGATGTAATTTTTCCAGCTGCAATAACGGCTTCCATTTCACAGGTGAGGGCATTTGGCCTGCAAGGGCTTCGGTGGCCCGCTCAGTGCCGGGTACAGAGGAGCTGGGATTTGAACACAGGCCCGCTCAACTCCAAAGCCCAGACGTGCACCCCCAAACAGCCGCACGGAGACTGGGAGGACGAATTTGCCCACTGGGTGGTTCTGACTTTGCAAAGAACCACCAGTGGGAAGGTTGCCCCTAATGAGCTGACGGAGGCTGGTTCGCTCATTCCTGACTCTGCAAAGCATCACAAATCTTTAAGAGCTAGGCAGATGAAATGCTGATTGCATTCAGGAACAAAAAGTCAAATTCATATTTCTCAGACATTACTTAATGACAGTCGCTTTGGGAAG